GCTGTGGTAGACAGACAGACAGCATGCTGTGGTAGACAGCCACCAGACAGACAGCACACTGTGGTAGACAGCCACCAGACAGACAGCACACTGTGGTAGACAGCCATCAGACAGACAGCACACTGTGGTAGACAGCCATCAGACAGACAGCACACTGTGGTAGACAGACAGCATGCTGTGGTAGACAGACACCACTGCTCTCCTTTGGAAGTCCTAACTCTTTTACAGAAATGCCAAAATAAACAATAATGTTTGATGGCACAACTCCAGGAACTCGGGATTTTAATTGCTTATTGAAATTCATATCCAGCCTGCTGGTTTCATACAATGGGGGCACTCTTCAAAGGATTAGATATGTGATGGGTTTACCAGTCATCAAAAGCAAGCGACATCACCAAGTTTATTGTAATATGAGTTCATCCTGCTCTGCGCTGGACTTGACCTAAGCATGGCCTTTTCACTACGTCTGTGGGCTTGGTGGACAGCTTTGATCTTTAAATTGTTGTTTTTACGGCTAGGTGTTTTGTTTGGGCTTTAAATAAATGAGTAGTTGAGGGCTGGGTTGTCGGTGAAGGGGAGAGCCCTTACCTAGCATCTGCAAGTCCCTGAATTTGTTCCAACCACTACATAAAACAAATAAAACCCCTACGGCTACATGGTGATGTAGGCCTCACCCCATCATGCCAAATTCATCATATAGTGGTAACAGATGAAATTCATTTTAACAGACTCCTTTTTTTGTTTTTGTTTTTGTAGACCTAGGAGTTGGCAGAGTTCAGGGAGACCATGGGGTCTGGTGTAAGAACTTCTCCACATTCTTGGTGAGTTAGGTTTCTGCACTTGACAGTCTCTTCTGTAATTCAGAGGTCTGAGTCCAGATGCTTTAAAAACACTCTTAAAGCTATTTTATGTGTACGTGTGCTTTCTCTGTGTGAATGTTTGTGCACCACATGTGTGCCTGGTATCCTAGGAGACCACTTCTGTTCCAGGGGGCATCAGAACTCGAGTTACAGAGGGTAGCGAGTGATCATATGAGTGCTGAGAATCAAACTTGGGTCTTATGCAAGAGCACAAGGCTGGGCCATCTCTCCTGCCCACCACAACTTTAAGAAGTTCAAAACTGAATTATTGATCCTTCCCTTCTACCCACGTTCCCCTTACAACAGCACCCCCAGAGCTGTGGTAGTCCGTTAAGCTAGAAGACTGGATTCCCCCTAGCTTTTCCGCAACAGCTCAAATTTGACTCTACTGCAAAACCGGCTCAAATCTGTGTGTCCCCATATCCACTACCAGTACTCAACCCAATCTCCTGTCTTTTCACTACAGAGTAGCAGTGTCAAAACACCCACATTCTCCACCCCTCCAATGGCTTCCATGTACATAAAAGAAAACCTTTATCATGCCTTATGAAGAACTAATGGCCTCTAATACCCTTTGATCTAAGACAGGAGTGGTGGTGGAGGGGGGGTGGTGAGTACACACGACTGGACAGTCAGCTTAGCAGTTAGGAGGTGTATTGCTCTTCCAAAGGATCCACTTGGAGGCTCACAATGTCTGTACTCCAGTTCCAGCAGATCCAGCTCCCTCTTCTGGCTTCCAGTGGCTCCTGCAAGCGCAGGGTGCACATAAACTCAGGAGCACACTCATACACATAAAAAAAAAAAAAAGAAAAAAAAGACAACGTTGTTAAAACAACAACAACACAACACTTTGTATTTCTCTAAGGAGCAATCTTGCGCCCCTCGGCTCATGAGCCTTCTCACACAGACTATCCCTGCGCTTTTCCATATGGCTACTCTGATCACGTCCCTCAACCCCTAGTTTTAAACCAGGGCTCTTTGCACGTACGTCACATAATTTTAAATACATATGGACTAAAATAGCATTTCATGTTTACCATCTGCACTAGAGAATGGATTTCAGAACAGGAGCCATCACAGCTTTGTTCTCTCGGGCCTATAACTAGTAGTTGGAGCAACAACTACTACACATCATTTACATACATCTGGCATTGCTATACCAAGAGCTTTCCATACCACCATGGCCCCAGTGTCCCTCCTGACTTCTAGCCAGGGTCAGTCTGTTCGCAGGGTGAACCCAGCTCCTATGTGCTCATCCGCACGGAGCCCACGGGGCTGTTAGGCTAACGGTGCGGGGAAGGATCCGCGTTGACCCCCTGGGATCCTCCTGCAGTTCTCGCCCACGGATGCTATTCCTGCCCCTTCCGAGGCCAAGCTCGCCCTCCGCCGAGCCCCGCTAGCTCCGCCTTCCCCTCCGGTCTCGGGGCCGCGCGCTCACGGCCGGGCTCCACCCCCGCGTCACGTGACGGCCGCCGGGGGCGGGGCTCGCGGCGGAGTCGGTCCTCCTGGCGGCGCGCCGCAGTCCTTGGGCAGCCCTGCGGCTTCCAGGGCGTCGCGGCCGCGGCCCCGCAGCGCCGCTCCCTGAGGTAAGAGCGCGGGTTCCTCGACGCACCCCGGAGGCTTCCCGGAAGCCCGCTGGTGCTCCAGGTCACCGGCCGCTCGCTCCTGCCGCGGGCCAAGCCTGTGGCTGGGGTGCGGACACCCGGCCTGGGGCAGTGCGGGGGTGGGGGGGCTTGGCCGCCGGAGCTCCGGGAGAGCCGTGCCTTGTCTCCCCCCCCCAGACCCCCCAACCCCGAACCACCCGCTGTCGCCTCCAGCCCCAGGCTTTGCCAGTATGCAAGAGAATTAATTCTACTTGGCGGTTTGCAGCCTTCACCTGGGGATGCAGGAGCGAGTGTGCAGTCGGGCACCCAGTGGGGCTGGTTTTAGCAAGTTGCGGAGACTCGGTTTCTAAAATCTTTGAAGGAAGAGGGATAACCCCTGCCCGGCTTCCCTCCTGCACCGAAGAACTGATGGCAGTGCCATTTGGTGAGCCAGAACTCCGGAGTTGGTTTTAGTTCCATCACCCCACTAGCCAGGCAACCTTGAGCCACGTCGATGGCGCTTCTGTTAAAAGTAGAGATGAGTACTTGGGCCAGAGGCTGCTGTGAGGATTGAGTGTGGAGAGACAGGCACAGTGCGGGCCAGAGGGCTCCTTAGAGAGTGCTCTCAGTATGAGCATTATTAAAATAGCAAGCTAGAGAGGGCTCCAAGAGAGACGTCTTTCTTGCAGTAAGCACAGCGTCCACTGTGTGTGTGATCCTGAAAACAGTGCCTTTTTTTTTTTTTGGCTGTAGAACCCTCTCCCCTTTCCCAGGCCCCCTTTGCCTTCTGGTTCACATTGGCATGGGAACCTGTTGTTCCTACCGAATGAGTCAGGCAGGATGGGAACGCTAATTTACTTGAGCAGATGGGTATCAGATTCCCTCCGAGGGGAAAGAAAACTGCCAGGCATGTGCTCCCACCAAAAAAAGCACAGTTGAGTGATTGACTGTCTACTGGAAGATGCCTAGGAGCCCATGGAATCCAGCTGTCTCCAGCACATAAAGGAACTGGACCCAGAATGAGGCCAGGACTTTGGTTTTGCTCAGACTTCAACACTGTTGGCGCTGGGTAGTCGAAAGAATGGGTGTGCTTTCCTATGTTCGTTTATTCGGGCTGCATGTTTGTGCATCTACAAGAAACTGGATGGAGAGAAAGCTATGAACCAGACAATGGAGTCTGCCCCCCGTGAAGCTGTTTCCATAGCTGGCTGTTAGTTTGAGGTTATATAAACGTCTATTTTGTGAACGTGTGTGTGTGTGTGTGTGTGTGTGTGTGTGTGTGTGTGTGTGTCCCTCTGCTGGGTCTCAGTATGTTTTAGGATAACAATAAGTTCTAGCTCCCAGGGAGCTTGCCTCAGAGCAGCTGGCCCCAGGGGACCAGCACACCAGAGAGGCTTGAATTGTTTGGTGAACCTTGTCAGGTCTCCAGCCCTGGTGGAAGCTTGATGAGATTTAGAGTCTGGAGAAAATGGCAGTGTGTTGAAGCTCCAGGAAAGGATTTCCTCAGGCCTAGAGCGCTGCATTTCTTTGTTTCTCTGGTTTCTGGCCTCTTAGTGTTTGTAGGTAGCTAAAGAGAGCAGCCTTCACCGTGGTGCCTTCATTTGGTTTCCATGGTTATCAGGGAGTTACATTTTCATGATAGCACCAGTAGCAATTGTGGCCAAGCAGCAGCCTCTCCCCCACCGAGCCCTGCTTCCTGGTTTGTTTTGTTCTTCAGTTGTAGTGCAGACAGGGTCTCCCTTTCCTTTGGTCCCTCCTTCCATCCTTCCCTTTAACGAGTGACAGTGTGAAGAGGGATCCGAATAAGAACAGAGACAATAGAGACAGACCTTGGCCTGAGAAATCAGAGAATCCTTTTTAGGCCCAACCCATTGATGATGATGATGATGATGATGATGATGATGATGATGATGATGATGATGCAGTGCTGTGGCATAAAACTGAGGATGTTGGCCGGTTGGTGGGCAGGTCAGTGAACCTCTGGAAAGGTGTAAATGGCGAGCCAGCAAGAGCTCTCCTAGGCAACAAAGAAGACCTCACCTGCTTTTCAAAGGAGATGTGAAGGAAACGTGTCCCTTCAATGGGCCGCAGTCACAGAGGAACACTAGATAGCACAGTGGCCAGTGGCCTTTTCTTCTTCCAGTTTGCCTTAATGGATGAGCCTCTTCCTCTGCAGTCACCTGCCATGGGCCTTGTATGAACCAGCTGCTGCTTCCCCTTTTAGCTGACATGATGGGATTGTCAACCAAAGGGGGCTAGGAAAACACCTGTTTGGGATCCATCTATTTCAGTTTCAGTGTTTAATCGGTGTGTCTCATTTTCAAGTTAGGCACTAATGCAGTCACACATTTCTTTATTTTTACTCCCAAGTCTTCCAAAACCCTCATTAGTAAGGATTCTGAGCTCTGTAGAGGCGTCTGTAGCCCAAAGAGGTCTTTTCAGAGGAGAGGGAGCAATGAACGATGCACCCAGATCGTTATCTCTGACAGCTACATGGTGTCACTGGAAGAGTTGCCCTGCACAGTCCAAGGACGTGTGGTCATTGCTGCTCAGTGCCCTTTAGGGACCAGCTCCACACCAGCAAGATCCCCTGCTTGGACTCTGAGGTTAGAGCCTTTTTTAGGTCACGCTCACGTGCTTAGCTTTGTGTTTCCCAAAGCACCACTTGTTGGGCCTTGCATTGAGCCTGCTACTAGGCTGGCTTTTCCTAGCCTTCTGGAGTCACTGTAGATCACCGGGATTCTCCTCTCTTTCAAGCCTTTTATCCGAATTTAAGGGCTGCGTCTTCCTTCCCTTCTCTAAGCTTAACCCAAGTCCCTTTGGAAAGCTGCTTCCACTTTGTCACCAGGATTTTACCTAAGCAAAGATTCTCAGGAATGGCAAATTTCAGGAAGATGCCATCCTAGGCCTGTGGGACCTCTTCAGCCTTGTTTTTCCAAGTGTAAGAGGGGTGGGTCCTTGGGTGATTCTTGGCAAAGGCTGCATCAGTTCCCAGGTGACCGTTTCCACCTGCAGTCCTGAGAGGTTAGGCAGCTGCAAACATCCGCTCCTTAAGCTGGGGTGGTGCATGCTTGCACTCCCAACTGTCTGTAGGTGGAGGCAGGAGGGCCAGGCGTTTAGGTCCACCTAGGCTACAAGAGACTTTATTTAAGGAAAAATGAAAAGAAAATAGGCTTTACTGAGAGTGAAAATGTATTTGGTATATATTTGGAATTTGGAAAGCAAAGTTTCAAATTAAAAATAAAGGACAATGGTTGGCAGTGTGACACTGTAGCTCTTGAAAGGCTGAGGCAGGAGAATTGCTTGGACCTAGAAGTTAGAGTCAGTGTGGCAAGATCTGAACTCAAAAACAAACAAAAAGCTGGTTACAGTTGTTTTGTTTTTAATGACAGTTTTTGTGTTCTCAATTTTTCTAAGAATCAGTATATTTATTTTATCTTTGTTTTGAATGTTGTTTTTTTTTTTTTTAACTCGGAAAGATAAAATATAGAGATGGGGCCCACGAATGCATAGTTTAGCAAATAATTATGAGGGAAATGACCATGTAAGGACTGTAACCTCAAGAAGTGGAGCATGGGCAGTGCCTCCTTCAGACTCTACCCTGGGTGGCTGTCGTCTTGACCTGTAGATGAACATCGTCTCTGTTCCATCCATCGTTTGTGTGCGCATCCCTAGGTACCATCTAGTGAACTAGTCTAACTTCATCCGTGTGAGATCACCCTGTCTGCATCTTGTGTTTTGCTTCTTTTGCTCGGTGTATCACTTGGCGTGCGTCCATGTGGTAGCCCCAGTCTGTCACTAACAGCAGGCAGACAGGTCACCGTGAGTGCAGTCAGCAGTGGATGGATGGGGGCTTGCCAAGAACATTCTCGACATATTCTCTCTCTTCTGAACTGCGTTTGCTCGTTCGTCTGTTTAGTGGCGGGGGTGGGGGTGGGGGTGGGCTGCACACGTTGGTTCTCCTTTCACTGTGTGGATTCCCAGGATGGAACTCAGGTCATCAGGCTTGCCTCCTGAGCCAGCTCTCTGGCCCTCCTCAGGCATGGTCTGTTGTGCATCTGAGCAGACTTCTTTAGGTTCCCTTCATCTAAACAGAATCGCTTTGTTGGTGGTGGTAGCACATGCCCTCTCCCCTCCCCCAACACACACCTTGATTGGTTGGTTTGCTTTTTGATACAAGATCTTACTGTGTAGTTCAGGCTGTCCTGGAACTCAATATGTAACCAAGACTGACCTGGAGCACACAGCAATCCCCCTGCCTCATACCTGTAGCCAGCATCTACAGGTGTGAGCTTCTAAATTTCTGTCTTACTAGCAGTTTGTGAGTTCTACTTGCTTCCAATCCTTAGAGATTCTTGCTTTGGCCAGTTTATTTAACTATTCTTGTGTGTATAAAATCTCTTGAGGCTCTAACTTGCTTTCCTTGTTAGTCGCTGATATTGAACACTTTTTTTTTTTAAATGGTTAATAGGATAGCATCTTTGTGAAATACTCAAGTCATCAGGCTTGTTTTTTAATGTGGTTCCAGGTTAGAAGGGTTGACAGGCACTTTATCCAGAGATCCATTCAGCTGGTCCCGCAGGGACTTTAAGTTAAACACACACTGGATCCACATACACATGAAAACATGCACTGTTGGTCTTTCTAGGTCCGGTTGCCTCACTTAGTATAATTTTTTCCAGGCTCATCCATTTACTTCCTCCATTTACTTCCGTTGTCTATAGGTACCAGGTTTTCATTATTGATGGACAGCTAGGCTGTTTCCATGTCCTATCTATTTGTCAACAGAGTAGCAGTGAGCATGGATGAGCAGATACCTCTGTAGTAGGGTATGGAGTTCTTTGGGCATGCTGGGAATGGTATAGCTGGTCATGTGGTAGGTGTATTTCTCGCTCTTTGAGGAACCTCTACATTGATTTCCACAGTGGCTCTGCCACTCTGCTTTCCCAGCAACAGTGAATGAGCGGTTTTCTCCTCGTACATCCTTGCCAGCATTTCTTCTCATGTTTTCTTTCTTTAAAAAAAAAAAAAGAATTATTTATCACATATATACAATGTTCTGCATTAATGTATGCCTGCCTGTTAGAAGAGGGCACCAGATCTCATTACAGATGGTTGTGAGCCACCATGTGGTTGCTGGGAATTGAACTCAGGACCTCTGGAAGAGCAGGCAGTGCTCTTAACCCCTGAGCCATCTCTTCAGCCCCCTCATTTGTTTTTTACTGTTAGCCTTTCTTACTGGGCTAAATGAAATGTCAATGTAGTTTTAATTTTCATTTCCCTGATGGCTAATGCAAATGTTAAATACTTTAAAAGATATATCTTAGATATTTGTATTTAAGTTTTTTTTTTTTTTAAACTCAATGTGATGATTTAAATATGCCCCTCTTAGTCTCAGACATTTAAATACTTAGTCCCCATTTGGTGGCACTGTTTGGGGAGGTTTAGGAGGTGTGGCTTTGTTGGAGGAAGTCTGTCACTGGAGGTGGGCTTTGAGGATTCAAAGACTCACACCCTCTGCTTCCTGCTTGTGGTTTAAGAGGTGAGCCCTCTCCTTGCTGTTCCAGCCTAACTCTAACTGTGGACTCATCTAACCCTGTGGAACCACAAGCCCAAACAAACACGCTGTAGTTTCCTTGGTCATGGTGTTTTATCACAACAATAGAAAAGCAACCAATACGCTGGGTTTCACTGTGTATCCCAGGCTGACCTAGAATCTGCTACGTAGACCAGGCTGGTCTTGAACTCACAGAGATCTAGCTGCCGCTACCCCTCAGATGCTCAGATTGAAGGCAGATGCTACCATGTGTGCTCCGTGGTTGTCACTGTCACCATCTTCTCCTCATCTTCTGTTACATTTAGTGCGTGCGTGCGTGCGTGCGTGTGTGTGTGTGTGTGTGTGTGTCTGTCTGTCTGTCTGTACACACTCTGTAGGCTGCCTCTTCAGTTAACAGTTTCCTCTGCAGTCTAGAAGCCTTTTAATTTCACGAGGTCCCTCATGTTGATTGTTGGCCACTGGGGCCCCATTTAGAAAATCTTTAAGTAAGTATATCATCAAGTATACTCCCTACTCTCCTTGTGAATTTTCAGAGTTTCAGGTCTAACATTGAGATTTTGACCCATTTAGAATTTTGTGTAGGGTGACAGATAAGGACTAATTTCCCCACAAGACTCAGAGAACATCTCAGAAGAGGGAACAGAAAGATTCTAAGAGCCAGAGTTTGGGGAGGATCAAGGTGAACTAGTATCTTCTGGGTATGACAGGACTGATGGACACATGGACCCACAGCAGCTGTGTTACTTGACAAGATCAAGTCAGTCAGTATTCCAGCATGGAGTGGGAGGGCCTCCAAGGAGGAGCTATTGACAGCTGATGACTTCTGCAGGAGGGTGAGTCAGTTTTCTTTTAAAAAGTAACCTCAAAGCTGGGTGGCGCACACCTTTAATCCCAGCACCCGGGAGGCAGAGGCAGGCAGAGGCAGGCGGATCTCTGGGTTCAAGGCCAGCCTGGTCTATAGAGCGAGTTTTAGGACAACCAGGACTACACAGAGAAACCGTATCTTGAAAAAGCAAAAACCAAACAAAAAAAGAAGTAGCTTCTGATAGGTTGACAGTGGACTGTCCCCCACCCATGCATATTTGGACAACAGAAATATCAGACTCACATGCAGCTGCCTCCCGAATGCTGGGACTTTCCTCTTTTGGAAAGAGAACAAGGAGTGAGCTGGAGGTTAGAGGACATATCTGGGAGGAGTTGGGGACGAACAGGGTCAAATACATTTGTCTCAGTCACTGTTCTGTTGCTGTGAAGAGACACCATGACCAAGGCAACTCTTACGAAAGAGAGCATTTAGTGGAAGGCTTACCGTTCAGAAGGTCAGTCTATGATCATCATGGCAAGTAGTAATGGCAGGCAGACATGATGCTGGAGAGGTAGCTGAGAGCTCACATCTCATCTGCAAGTTGCAGCGGAGGGGGAAACAGACATAGAGAAAAAGACACACCGGACCTGACTGGCATGGGCTTTTGAAACCTCAAGCCCACCCCCAGGGGCACGCCTCTTCCAACAAGGCCACGCCTCCTAATCCTTCCTAAACAGTTCACCAACTAGGGACTAAGCAAATATATGACTCTGTGGGGGCCATTCTCATTCAGACCACCACAACGTGTAGTAAGTTCTCAAAGAATTAATAAAAATATTTTTAAAAAACTCAGGCTAACAAGATGGGTCAGCAGGTTAAGGTGCTTATTGCCAAACCCAACAACCAATCCAGTCCCTAGAATCCGCATGGTGAAGGGGAGAACTGATTTCCACAGATTGCCCTCTGACTTACACAGATATGTGATGACAGGCGCCTCCCTCCAAAATAAAGTAAATAAATGCTTTTGAAAAAGAAAGAACATGTCTTTGTCTCTCTGAATCCCTTGCTTGCTTGCTCTAGTTTGGCTACATTCCTTAGTCCCTCAGGTGATGTCTCCTGAGTTTCTTCCATTCCTGACAAGGGACATGGATATCCTGTCTTCTTTGGATCAAGCATCTATTCCAGGTGGTACCTTGCCCTGGCTAAGGCACTGTGAAGGACAGCCCACTGGGATAAATGGACTGGACACAGCTCTAAGAACAAGGAAAGTGCTAGGCCTGGTGTCGCCGGCCTGTGATCTCAGCAGCTTTAGAGGCAAAAGAGGAGGATCACAAGTTCAAGGCCTGCCGGGCGAGCAGAGTGAGCTCAAAAGCAGCCTTGGCAATTTAGTAAGACCTTGTCTCAGAAGGGGCCCGGGGATGTAGCTAGCACATACGAGGCCCTAGGATCGTTGCCACTCCCATACAATGAATGAATACAGATGAGGAGCATACACTCTGGGGCTTGTGTGCAGAGGTAGACTGAGGCCAGCCGAGGCAATACAGCAAGACGCTTTGTGAAAACACAAAGGTGGAAAGCTTGGTTACGTGTGTAACTCAGTGGGAGCAAGCTTGCTGAGCGTGCACAGGGCTCTGGGTTCAATCCTTCATGCCGCCAGAAAAATGATGTAGAGGAGAAGTAAGAGGAGGATGGAGCGAGTTCGTTGGCGTGGCTGAGGGAGGGCCTTGTGGCTGCAGGAATCCAGACTTCCCACTGAGTTCTGGAAGGCCCCAGCATAAGGTCCTCCAGTTCTTACCATTCACTCCCTTAGTAGTACTTGAAAAAACCAACTCCCTAGAATTTGACATTGAACTCGGGGGCCATGCCCACCCGGGTGAATTTCTGCTGTCGACGCTGTTCTAATCATCCTCGTGAAGAAGAGAACTTACCCTCTTTGTCATTTGATGGTCAGGACCCAGGAACCTCCTTCCCTCCGTCACAGTCAAGAATTACTGGGGCTGGGGAAAGGGCTCAGCAGGAAGAGCACTTACTGCTCTTCCTGAGGACCTGAGTTCTGTAGCCCTTAGTAACTCCAGCTCCAGAGGATCCAGTGCCCATTGCTAGCGAGCAGCTGATCATAGGTCAAGGCCATGCACAGTCAGCGCTGTCCCCTCTGCACTGCAGGCATTTTTGGGTCTTTTTTCTTTTTTCCTGTGCAGCCCTGGCTGTCCTGGAACTCTGTAGACCAGGCTGGCCTCAAACTCAGAGATCCATTTGACTCTGCCTCCCGAGGGCTGGGATTAAAGGCGTGCGCCACCACCGCCCGTCCACTTCAGACGTTTTGATTTCTTCCTAAGATGCTGAGAAAAGTGGCTCAAAATGTGGTGAAGAAGTAGAAGGGCCGTGATTTAGGAAAACACCGGAAAGGAAGTCTGCCGTTTACTGTGTGTCAGGCTCCTGGTGACTGCCTCCCAGACATCTCTCATCGGCCCAGCAAGTCCCTAAGGTAGTATTAGCTCCATTTTTATAGATGAGAAGGAGAGCCAGAGACCAGTCTGACTCCATTGAATGTCTCATGTCACCAGCCAAGTAGCAATCACGTGGTGTGGAGTTGCCTCAAGCTGAGCATGATTAAAGAGAAGTGGCTAGAGAGTCTGTGGATGGCTGGGAGGCAGCAGTTGATGATCTGATTGATAAAGTTTAAGTGGTTGGGGTCTACTCACCCTGCAGGTAAGGTGCCCTGGATTTTTGTAGATTTTTGACTTGAAATCCTAAATATTTACACTAGGCTTCCTAGCAGAACACTGTCAGTCCAAATTAGACATTTTATGATGCTCAATAATGATTGCAGGACCAGCTGAATCTTTCTTATGGTCAGTGGGTATATGCATACATCTGCAATGCGTGGCCAGGGTGCCGTACCATCACTAGCTGTGAAACCCAGCATTGTAAGAAGGGACCCGGGCAGCAGGTGGTTGTACTCCAGGGACTTTGAACTTAGCTCAGGTTAGGAATCCATCCAGATATACTACTGCCAGATGCTGGGGTTGAGATGTGCAGTGTAGTTTGCATTGTGAGTGGTCTCCAAGATGACACAGCTCCTGAATAAGTGAGCCCTCAAAATACCTTCCTGGTGGGTGTGGTTAGCCATGCTTTAATCCTAGCTCCCAGGAAGCAGAGGCAGATGGATCTCTTGAATTGGAGGCTCGCTGGTCTCTCTGTTGACTTTCCAGGCCAAGCAAGGCTATCTAGTGAGACTCTGCCTCCCAAAACAAAAACAAACCAACAACCCCCCCCCCCCCACACACACACACACACTCCCTTCCTCGCCCTTTCAGCTCTGCTTATTAAGTGTGTGAGAATCAGGACGAAGCCCGTTGAAAGATTCCCTGACGCATGTTCCATTCTACATCAACCTCAGTGAACAGGCCCTGGGCTGACAGAGAAGGGTAAAGGGAGGCCCCGGATGGCCTGGACCGCTCAATGCTCCTGACTTTGATCAAGCACACAGTGTTCTGAATTACAGCATCTGATTTCAACGCTGCACATATCGTCTCTTAGATCAAAGAGAACTGAGGCTTGAAGGAACGATGGAATGCCCAACTGAGACATTTGCCACCTTCAGGGTTTACGTTTTTTTCTTTCTGAAATCTGTGGATGTGTGTGGGTCCAGGCCTGTGTACAGGCTCCTTGTGGCTCAGATTTCCCTCTGTATTATATCAGAATGGATTTGAACTAAAATCCGCCAAAGTAGAGACATATCCTTTGATTTGAGATTTTAAATCATTAACCTATTACAGTTGCTTTGCTGGACGGTTTGTTCTTACTTAACTGGTGCTTTGTATGCCTGACAGTGTGGGTGGAAAATCTTGTTTTCCCTCTTCATGGATACAAAAGGTTTGAGCTGCCCTAGATCCTTAGTTCTTATTGATTTTTAAAACTTAATCTAATCTCCCACCACTTTGAAACTAAGTAGGAACTAGAAAGTGGTTTTTGTTGTTTGGGTTTTGTTGAGACACCAGGTCTTGTCTACAGCCCAGACTGGCTTCAGACCCACTGTCCTGTGTGACACCACCCGAGTGCTGGGATTGCAGGTATGCGTACCACGAGGGGCCATTTCTGTCTTTATCTGATCGTAGAACATGAAAGCAGGGTTCAGGCACCTGCCCTCAAGGTTAGCCAGTAAAGGGGAGGCAGAGCCCCAGCTAGGATGGAAGCCCATCAGGTCCTTCTTGTAGGAGTCATTTTACCAGGAGAGGTAGAACCTTTTGTGCAGGGACTCAAGGCAGCTCCCAAATTAACTAGTGACTAGTTGAGGTATCCATGGGAACCGGCTGGCTTTTCTGGCTGACCCTGGAACTGTATCAGTCTAAGAACGGCTTCCCCTCCAGGCCCTTACTGACACCTGGCTTCTCTACAAACTTTCTTCCATTCCTCGACAGGCTGTCTTACTCCTGTCGGAATTTCAAGTGCTCACTCACCCATGAGGCTGGCTTGCCCCACCCCCCAATCCTCCTCCCCAGCAGTGACTCGGACACGTCCCTTGTCTCTCGAGTTCTCGCAGGCTGACTTCCTTCATATAGCTGTAAAATGAAGACAGGACTGCTTTAATTCAGTGCTTCTCGAGCTTAGAGTCCACACAAGTTCCTTGGTGATCTTGTTAAAATGTCATGTCTGGGCTGGAAAGATGGGTCAGCAGTTAAGAGTACTTGCTGCTCTTGGTTGGGCGTGGTGGCACACACCTATAATCCCAGCACTCAGGAGGCAGAGGCAGGCAGGTCTCTGGATTTGAGGCCAGCCTGGTCTACAGAGTGAGTGCCAGGACTGCCAGTTTGGAGACAGAAAAACCCTGTCTTAAGAAGTAAAACTTAAATAATAAAGTACTTGCTGCTCTTGCAGAGGATCCAAGATTCATTTCCCAGAACCACACACACGGGCTCACAACCACCTGTAAGTTCAACTCCAGGAGATCTGACATCCTCTTCTGGCCTCTACCTTCCCTGATAAGGCATATTTTTATACAAACACACCACACATATACATAGATAA